ATATATATATATAGAGAGAGAGAGATACAAAGATAAGTTATGTGCCATGCGATCGCTTAGGCGATCATATATCTTTCGATACATGACTGACGTGATTTTTTCCCGCAGTAGTTTGCCATTTCTTTCTGCGGTCGACCGGCTATTTAAATTACTCATAGCTAGGGAGAGAAGAAGAGGATTCATACCTAGAGTATTAGCACGTAAGTGAAAGGATTCGATTGGAATTCGAACTCGGTTCTCCGAATACTCAATGTTATATAGGGGTATATTAATACACAATGTGTGTGTGTGCACTAATTTATTATGAAAAGGCCGGCCATATAATTTTGCAACCGAAATGTACTTTTAAAATATCAAAGATTTCTTGCATTTCTTTTTATATTCAATAATTCCTAGATATAAAAGGAAACAAATTAGATTTTGTTTACGTTTAAATTTCTAGAATGAGGAGTTATTATTTTTCTTATTTTTAGTCAAACGCATCTTTATTTTTTTTATCACGACATTTCGGTGTTGTACCCTCCAGTCTTCTTCAGGTGTCTCTCGATTCAGGTAATAACTGTCGATGAATAATTGTTTTCTACAGCGATAATAATAATAATAATAATAATAATAATAATAATTAATGATAATAATAATAACAATAATAATGATAATGATAAAATAATGAATGATAATAGTTAATGAAAATAATAATGATAATGATAATAATAATATTGAATGATAATAATAATAATGATAATAATAATGATAATGATAATAACAATAATGAATGAAAATAATAATAATGAATGAAAATAATAATAATGATAATAATAATGAATGATACCAACAATGATAATGATAATAAAAATAATGATAATAATAATAATAATTATGATTGAAAATAATAATAATAATGAAAATAATAATTAATATAAAATAATAAAATGAATAATAATAATTAATATAATAATAATAATAATAATAAAAATAAAAATAATAATAATAATGAAAATTCGTAATGAAAACAAGAAAATGTGCTAATAGGTGCACTTGGAATTATAAAAAATGGAACAAAACAACACATTGAAAAGTACAAAATGTATACAGAAACGTGTATATATTAGGTTGAATGATAAGTAATTTCTGTTTTGAAAATGTCTTTGGAACCAATCATATTTTGAAAAATAAAGTTGATAAAAAAAAGGATTGTTTTATAACGTAACCAAAATAATGCATGAGGTTTTATATATTCGGAATATTATTATTCAAATGTTAACCTTTTTATGACATTATTTTACGACCTAAAATTCCATTTCACACCAGACATTTCAATAAGCAATTCAAATTTGCCTCCCTTGACTACAACTTTATGCTGAAAACCGACAACCATAAAGAATCCTGCTTTTTAAATCCTTGAAAGTAAAAACATCCAAAAATGGTAGTGAAAATATTACCCGTCTCCTTATAAGGAAACAGTTGATATTCATTGACCGAACAGTTGGTGTTATTTTGGGTTCAAATTTATGAAATCTTTCTCTTAAAACAGTTTTTCAAGAAAATAGGTTTCTCAAGTCCAGTAACTGTTATCGCTCTTTCCAGTATTGATGCGGTCTTCCTTTCTAAACTTTGAAATAATACACAGCATGGTCCGAAAGTCTTCTTACCCCTACATAATATAATCTTCTATTTCAGATGGCTGACACGAGCTCCTACAGACCTTTTCGATGTGTGACAGCGTCAATGAACGTGAATAAATTGAATCTGTATTATTAGTTCTTCTATTGTTCTCATTGTCATTTGGTAGGAGATGACAAGACTTTCGGATCACCCCGCAGAACGTCAGTAACTTCATTATATCATTATTTTTCTTTGAGTTAAAGCTGATATCTATTTTAGTTGTTGCGTCTGCTGGAAATCTTAAGTGATGTGGGTTCTGTTTGTTGGTACAGTTCCTTGTTTGTGATCATGTAGCGCCAGTCCACAAGATTAAATAGCTATCATGAAAAAAAAGACAAGAAAAGAAAAACACAGTATATTAGTAACCTGATCTAATTGCTTAGTTATGAAACATTTTGTTGTCATAGAAACACGAAACATTTTCGCTTCCGACATTAAAAATATCTCATGTTCCCATAACAAAGAAATTTCTCATTACTATGTCACTGAGTTAAGCCCTATACGTAATACACGTTTAGGTGATCATGTATCTTTCGATACGAGGCAAATTTTGTTTTCCTCACAGTAGGTTGCTATTTCTTTATGCGGCAGACTGGTTGCCAACCAAGGCTAAAGAACCCAGTCTGTCCTTTTATTCAACCCATAGCTGGGGGAGAAGAGATGGATTCATGCCTTTCTCAAGGGGATTTCTGCGTAAGTAAATCGAACGAACTCGACCGGAATTCGAACTTTGCTCTCTGAATTCTCACTCCGAGCTGATATCCATTACACTACAACACACATTGCTAAACAGCGTTGACAAAAGGATGAAGACACGCTCTCTCACTCTCTCTTGCGGATTTAATCAGTCTGTATTGAGACGTCAATGAGTAAGCTTGTATTTTTAAATACATTTATTGCAGATTTTATAAGTATTTCATTGACTATTGTGTGATTTCTCTCCTGCACTGAATGTCTTGTGGAAAGATGCAATGAATAAATATATAAGTAAATGCTATATCTATTTTACAGAGTTCATATATTTCTTCCTTTTTTATCAGTATAAGTGACAGCAATTTGGAGGCAGTTTTATCACTAAATGCTAATGATAACTTGTGAGAAAGCCGTTTCCTTATAAGGAAACATTAGGCATTCATTGACCGAACAGTTAACGTCACTATCGGTCGAAATCTAAAAAAATCTTTCTTTTAAAATAGTTTTTTTTTTTTTTTCAGGAAATTAGACTTGTGGTAAGTACCTTCACTTTATCTGCCGGGATGCCAGCAAGATGGCGCTGTTCAGGACTATAGAAAGACTGGACAATAAACCCTCTTTGTCTTTTACTCCGGAATGTGCTATCGAAAAAAAAAACAGGACTTCTCCGTCTCTGGAGGAGATTTCTTCCCTTAATTTCAGCTACCCTCTCACACACACACATATTTTCTAACATTAAAGTCTATAAATGTTTTTCTTTTTTTTTTTCACACAAGTATATTTTCTGTCTTCTGGAATTATTTAATTCTTTATATAAAAACATGTAAAATTCCTATACGTGTTTAAATTCATTTCTTTTGAAAATGTCGTTTTCCTTTCTTTTGAAGCTTCTTAATCTAATCAGCAACAAGTTGCAACTCGTCCTGTTAAAAACTGGTGACCAACATCTGATACAAATTGGAGCACCATTTGTAACAGACAACTCAAGTTCACTGTTATCGCTTTTTTCAGTAATGGTGGGACTTTCCTTCCAAATCTTTTGTTTAAGGTATTGTGGAATGTCAACATATTGTTTATATCATTGCTTTCTCTTTTAGTTGCATATATTATCCATTTCAATTGTTGGAAGTTTTCAATTTATGTGGTTTTTGTTATTTGGTAAAGGTCTTTGTATGCAATTCTGTACCACCAGTCTCTACGGAGTCTGGTGAAGGATTGTCTTCTTTAATATTTAAAAAATCACTGGGAACTGTTTTTATATATAATAGTTTAGACATTTCTGAACGAGTGAGAGGCCATGCATGACATCTATATGATAATCCAGAGCAGATGAGGCTATTTAAGGACATGAGTTGTATTTTCGGGACATTATATTGATTTTGTTGTCACTTACGGTGTTGGATAAAAGTAGCTCTAGTGCAAGCTATCGTCTGTTCAATTTCTTTATCGTCTATACTAAATGTGTTATAAATGATCCATACACAGAGCTGTTTAGAATTTATTAATCTAACATTCTGGATTTTGTGGTGTTTTCAGGTTATGTGCCATCACTACTCTCAATCCGATTCCAGATCATAGTTTCTGTTTTAGAAAAAAAAGAATTGTTTAATGAATTTCACTAAAGGGGAGCTATTCATTTTTCCCGGAAAATAAGCGCAAGGTGAAATCATTTCAGCAGAAATATTATTGAGATGAAGTAAAACAAGCTCTATCGATTGTATAAGTAAAATGCAGACTAGAAACGGTAATTTTCGGCAATTATGTAATCAATTTTAAAAAAAAAACTTTAGCTTTAAACATACCGTCGACTCTCAACTTCTACTCAATGGTTAAATTTCTCCGACAACTACTTTCGAATTTATTTTTCACTAAGTACTGTAGCCTTGTGTCAGACAAATTTTATCTCAGTAAATATTTAAAAAGCAATTGACTTAACGAGACCATTGTTGCAGAATTCAGGTTTAACAAAGGGCTGCCAGTATTGTGGCCTCGTGTCAAACTAGGTTAAGCGTGTCACAGTAAAATGATGCTGCTACATCGCGTAATAGCTTATCAGTCAGGTATTTTCCAATAATATAATTGCTATCGATATCGATCTCATGTTGCTTCACTATTGTGACCTTGAGCAATACTTGACGAACCACTGAATATTCAGGACAAATAGAATTATTAGATATTTCAGATTTTGCAAATGCATAAAAGTACTGGTATCTAATCCTTCTGCCACCATTTTTTGTAGTAAAGTTTACCCAAGTCTCGAGAGCTACTCAAGGTAGATATTTACTCTTATTTTTTTTATGATGAATGAGTTAGGATATAAGTGAAAGGGGAAGTGATAGGATGTGAAAACTATGAGGATAAGGCGGTTAGATAACGCCTGACCCTTAACTTGAAGATGTTAAGATTGTGTAGTGTTCAGGGAAGCATCCGTGCAGATATCTGTTCTTGGGAAAAAGCAGTCTGAGCAGAACTTTCTCCTTATATTTGGAATACGGGGGAAATGAAGGTTATTCGGCTCCGTGTTATAAAGATTGGCTAACAGTGGCATCACATCATATAAAGTTTGATGTCGATCGACACTGCATCTGTGTGTGTGTCATACAATTCGCGAGGCAGCTGCAATCGGCAAACTGCTGCAGTGATGATTACTGCTGCAGTAACGGTAGCAGTAGTATCGTTAGCAACAGAGGTCGTGCGGAGTTAGCAACATACAGCGTGGTTGCAGAAGCAGGAATTATCACAGAACTGGCAGTACTAACATTCGCAACATTGGTAACAGGAGCAGCAGTTGCAGTGGTATCAGTACGGACCCGATCCCAGATATCGGAAAAAAAAAAAAGAAAATACATGAAAATGATTTTTGAAGTGTTTCGTGGAAACAGCCAGATGGGTGGTGGTTGATGAAGATTTCTTTCGAGAAATTTAGGAAAAGGTGGAGGGGGAGTGTGTTGGAGAATTAGCCTGAGAAATGCGGTTAAGCACACATTTCTTTTGGTGTCATGGAAAGAAAGAAATAAAGACAGAAAGAAAGAAAGAATTGAAAGAGAAAAAGAAGAAAAAAATAAGAAAGCTAATGAGAATAAGAACAAGAGGAGAAGGAGAGAAGAATGAAGAAGGAAAGAAAAGAAAAGAAGACTAAAATTGTTGAAGAAAAAAGCAACAAGGAAAGAAAATAAGAAAAAGAAGCAGCGAAGGCATCGATAAGAAGAAAACAATAAAGGAGAATGAATGATTATAATCTTTAAGTAGTAGAAGAAGAAAATTGTGGGAACAGTGAAGACAAAAAAGATGAAGAATCTATCATGAAGGAGAAGAGCAAAAAAGAGAAAAAATAAAAATAAAAGAGAGAGGGTGGGGTTGGGTAGAAAAAAGAAAGCGAGAAAAACAGGTGGAATTTGGGGCGTGGAGATAAAAAAGAAGGGATGCACGTCCAAGTTGAGGAAATGTGAAGCCAAAGAGAAGCAAGGATTTTCAAGACGTAATTGGAAGATAAAAAGAGACGAAAGAATTCCAAGAATTCAAAACAGACCAAAAATTTGGGCGAGTAGGAATTAGAGCAGTGCAACTGCCGGTTTTTCTTTCTTTTAATATTTTTTTTGTTCTTTTATTTTTATTTTTTTGCAATTCCTTTTCTTTTGTTCTTTGTTTTTTCTTTCGTTCGTTTCGTCTTTTATTTTCACCTTTTGTCTTTCTTGTTTATTTCTTTTTTCTCATTTTGCATTTTCTTTCTTTCTTTCTTTCTTTCTTTCTTTCTTTCTTTCTTTTGGCCTACTCAATTTTTTTTGCTTTATCACTTTCATTCTTTCTTTGCTAACATTTCATTATTTCCTTCTTTTGTTCTTTCGGTCCTTCATAGGAAAAAAGAGGAAACACGGAATGATAAAGAAAATATGTGACTAAAATAAATAACGAGAAACTAGGAGATAAACAATGAAAGAAACAAAGAGAAATAGAGAAAGAAGAAAAAGAAAGGAATAAAGAAAGAAAGAAAGAACAGATCAAAGATATGTTAAAAGTTTGAAAGTAAATATCTTCAATGAGAAATAGTGCATAAAGTGTGTAATTACGTATATAAGGAAATATCGAATGATGACACACGTGCGTGCGCGCACGATGGGGAGCTGAAAAGTTCTGAGCCCCATAAAGACGCCCTTCCAACATATGATTCTGTTTGGAGATTTGGTCAAATTTTGGAAAATATGATAGGCCGAGAACTTTTCAGCACACTTTTTACACTCACACACACACACACACACATCACATCACATAACATCAACTTCCGTGTAAAGTCCACGTAAGTTGAAATTGTTTCAAGAGAAGTGGCAGTTGCTCATCAACAGAGGTTTGGTGAATTTTAGAAGTATGATGATTACGGCAAGAGATAGTCATATGTGGAGGAAACTGTCAAAGAGTTCCCAGCCCATTCTATGTCCCAAAACCTAAACATGAGATTATTTTGACAAAAGACCTGTTCAGGTCAAGTACTTTTCAGCAATGCTCCCTATACAGATACCTACAGAAACATGAACACATTAAATACGATAACGTGCTACATAGATAGATAGACAGACAGACATACAGACACATAGATAGATAGATAGATAGATAGATAGATAGATAGATAGATAAAGAGAGAGAGAGAGATGAACCCATTAGAAGTTGATAGTGTGTATCAAATAAATAAATAAATGAAGGAAGAAATAGTAAGGAATCTATTCAGAAGAGAAAAGGAAAGCAAGGTAACAAGGTAAAATTAAAGAAAGTCGCAAGAAAAAGGGTAAAAATAGACTAAACTAATATAAGTGGGAAATGTGAAAAAGAAAGAAATAAAGAAAGAAAGAAATGTAAAAAAAATAAATATTAAGAAAGCTATTCAGAAGAGTAAAGAAGAGCAGAGAAACACCATTAAGAAAGAGAGCGAGAGAGACAAAAAAAGAGAAAAATACAGGACAAAAGAGAAATCGAGAAGACAAAAAAACTAGCAATAATGATCAATTTAAGTAAATCGTAAGAAAGAAAACTAAAAATAGACTAAATGAATGAGGGTGGAAAATATGAGAAAGAAAGAAAGAAAGAAAGAATGAATGAAAGAAAGAAAGAAAGAAAGAAAGAATAGAACTGAATAGAAAGAAATAAAGAAAGAAAGAAAGGAAGAAAGAAAGAAAGAATGAGAAATAGACAGTGGTATAAAAAGAAGACCTGAATGAAGGGGGAATTGGAGAGTAAGTCAGTATGATGTTGAACGATGATGCAGACGTTTTCAAGCGGCAGCAGCAACAGAGTCACACGTTTGTCTACCCGCCTGTTTGCGAAGAGGATCGAAGCCTCCAGCATGATCCCCTACCCAACGGTTTCTTTCCGGCACTTTCCTTCACCACCATCCCACCCGACACTCATGTCGAAGATGTCTGGCGAACATCTTCAGATGAAAGGTGCGGGACGCAGTTCCCTTGGTTACGTCATCGTGGCGCATGGCGACCTGGAACCTCACCACTTTATTTGCGCCAGCCACCAACAGTGTCGCTCACGTTCGGCAGGATAGTTTTCACCGGGACTCGTCACGTGATAGGCCCGAAACCCGACGCTGATCACACCATATAATGATCAATGAAATTTCATCAAAATGGAATATAATATAAAAAAGGAAAACATTTTTTTTTTTTCTCAAATTTTTCTTTACCGTTTTTTTTTTTGTACATTTTATAATCATCTAATAATTTTCCTGTTTGCACCAGGTTATCACTCGGGATTAAGTGGTGGCAAGTGATCTGTGTTAGCCTCATTGTTTTCTGTTATTATCATTTATTAACTGAATGCTCACACTAGTAATAAATGATTGCTTATACTGGCGATAAAGTGACAGCAAGTCTCTTCAATACTCCAGCATACTTAATATTCTATCTGTTTTAAATTATACCGTTGTCTGTACGTTTATTTCATTTTATTTTTCTCCTAATTTACATGTCTTCCAGGCTCTGCTATAAGGATTTAAGGAATGTTTCCGTGTTCGGATAATGACTGGCATCACTGTCATCTTAATATATTCTTTCTCGTGTCTCTGCCAAAGTTGAAGTATCTATCTTTTTAATTCCATTCATACTAACACTGTTGTCAGTCAGCACAGTGAAATCAACTGCTTGGCATGTTATTTTTCTTCTTCTTTTACTGAATTCGGTCTTTTGGCCCGGATTAGGTGAGGTGTTTAAATATGAAAACCCCAGAGGATTTCATTCTCTAGGGAAGCTTATGCCGTTGGTATGTGTGACCAAAATGTGACAAGCGAAGAGATTGTTATCAAATATACATACATATATACACACACACACACACACACACACACATATATATATATATATATATATATATATATATATATATATATATATATATATATATATCGTTTTCAATTACTTTCTCACTGCCGTAACGTAGCTTCTCTGTGCATTTTCTATAAATACTTTCATGGTAATTGTTTTGATAAACTTTACTCTATGGCACCTAGACTTTATGAATTTAAGCGCAGTACTAGATTGGCAGCAAGGTCTCACCATTTTACAGCTGAAATGGCGAGATGTTACGGCAAGTTCTGTACTGACAGTTTCTTCTCTCTCACTTCCCGTTTGAGGAATTCTCTTACGGCTTCTTGCTTTCCAGATAACTTCAATCTTAAAAAATTCAAATGCAATATCAGTCTTCTTAATTCCTGTTCTTTTAGTTTTCTCTCTTTAGTGTTTTTTTCTCATATTGTCTCACACTGAACTCTTGCATATTAGTGGCTTTATTGCCATGCTTGAATGGCTAATATATATATATATATATATATATATATATATATATATATGTATGTATGTATTTATAATTAGTTAGTTAAAAAGAGCTATGTTTATGGATAAGAGCGCTTAATACCAAAACGTCTAGATATATAAACAGTGTGAACATAGGGATCAATACTACATAGTGACTGTCAGTTTCATACTTCGATGCAATCTTCAGACCAAGTGTTAATTTCTGCGTCCACATCTGTCTATATCTATATGTGTGCGTGTATGAGTGTGTGCCTTTATGCCCACGAGCGTCCCTCTCTCTCTTTCTCTCTGTATGTGTGTGTGGCCTATCGTGGTTATTGTCATGGGGTTTGAATTATATTACTATGCTGAACCTCCGACTCTCAGTGAAGTATTTCTGTAAAATCAACATACAAACTTTAACTTTGTTATATAAGTGGTCAATGTCTTCTTCTTCTTCTATATGCCATGTTCCTTCAGGACAATGATGGCACTCTACAACTTCCTATCCTTCGAAGTTCTTTGTAAAGTTTGTCTTTTTGCCATCCCTCCTCGTTCCGATATCCATTCACACAACCTCGTTAGGTAGGTGACCTGCTGCAGCTCGTTATCACTTTTGCTTTTGATATGTGATGTGAGTGTCAAATTTTCCAAGCCCTCATTCATCATGTCTCTTTCTGATTTTGAGTCCTTTTCGTTTCCATTTTCCTTAGCACATCTTCATTGCTTATGTTGCTTACGCTCCGTTTTTACTTTAATAAAAAAAGATAATTCCAATATTTTATTAAAATTAAAACTCATTTTGAAACCTTTCAAAACTGACCAAAATGAAAAATCATGAATTATTTTAAAATATTAAAAAATACTCAAGTAACGAATAATTGTTTTGAAAATAAATATTTTAAAAAGAAAAAGATGTTTAATTTTTTTTGACAAATCCTAATTAAAAAACAACAAACTTATTTATATGATTTACACTTGGACGAAAGTCTTCATCCTTGTTGATCTTATCACAACATTTCAGCCGTAGCGCTTTCCAACCTTCTTCAGATGCCTTTTGATCTCGGTAACTTTCAGATAATTTCAAACTGAACTCTTTGTCTTATCTAAAAATTCGAATTATTCAGTTTCTCTGGAGGCTCCCCTTTAAAGGAAAAATTATATTTTATAAAAAAGCATTGGGAATGATTTTACTATAGAAATGCATTACACTTATTTATTAAACAAGTAAGTGAAAAGTTTCATTCACTCTGATAATTATATCATGACATAGCAAATATTAAAATCATTTATAGAAATGCATTTTCCTTGATTTTACTATAGAAATGCATTTTCCTTGATTTTACTATAGAAATGCATTACAATTATTTAGAGTTTTCATAAAATAAAGTCGGTGAAAAAAATGATTCATTTTAATAATATTTCCGCAATTTTTCTTACCACGTACATACTTAATGAAGAAATTAAAAAGCACCGAATATTTTGTTGAAATCGGAAAATTAGTCGAATGTTCGTGTTGATTGCTATAAATAATGTCTACGATTGTTAGCCCAAAAACGAAATCAGGACGGGTGGAGGAAATGTGGCTCACCTTTGGTCCATTAATGTAACACTGTTCCATTATCTTACTATCCGCCTAGTGCCATATCATGATACGTCTAGATGTGGGTTGTGCAGTGCTATCTCAGAACAACTGCAAAAATACTTTCTAACAAGAATTTTACCATGTTTGGTAGGTGTTAAGCGCTCACTTTGCATCCTTAGAATATGCGCGCTTTGTAAAAGAAAGATGCAGCCCCTAGTAAAAGTATACACTCCTGGTAGAAGTATACACACTTGGTAAAAATATACACGCTTGGTAAAAAAAAACAAAAAAAAAACAAAAACAAAAACATACACGCCTGGTAAAAATACATATGTGGTAAAAAAATATACGCACCCGGTAAATAATTCTAACTTTTATTACTTTTTTTGTTATACCGTTTATGAAAATGTATACGACATTTTAAATGCAACCTGTTACAACTATTTTTCTTGTAAGTACTATACAATCACTTATCCGAAATCCTTGCTTTCCTATCAACTTTGATCTTCAAAAATTTAAATGCAGTGTCAATCGTCTGTTTTCATTCTTATTCTTTTATTGTCCTATCTCCTTAGTGGTAGTTTTTCTCATATTCTTTAACATTCGGTAGCCTATTGCGTCCTAGTGGCTTTATTGCCTTGTTTTTTGGGGGGAATGATTAAAAAAACGAAAAGAAAGATATTTTCGATTTCGTGATCTCGGAATGATAGTATAAATATTGCATTATCTAATCTTATCTGTTGGGCAAAATGAAGTAGATAGAGTTGTGGCTCTATCAACAAAGACTGAGAATAAAATCAATATGATGTTTTTTAGAAAAAAAAAACACCTACAATCTTTGGGGCATAATAAGGCTTGGAGAATTTAACACTCCGAGGGCATGCTGATGACAAAAAGAAGCAAGGGAGAAACAGTTCAAGTAAATGGATCGCAGAACAACGACCTGGAAAACAAGGAGGGAGTGGTAAAACGGAAACAATTGCATAGGCCACAAGATGCAATATTATCGTCATGCCGAATAATGAAAACAAAAGATTAAATTTCTCATACATATTATTATTACATTTTATTCAACGTCGGACTTCATCCAATACCGTCGGCCAGTAGTTGTGCGGCCTTCTCCGAACATAGACCTTACATTCTCGTGTGAATGTAAGAGAGTGTTCACTTTGGGATAGGTTTTATATATCTGTCATTTGGTTCCTTCCCACGCGTGCACATCTCAAACGCAGCTAGGATAATTATTTGTCGAAGTCAGCTACAGACATCCGTTGAAATGTCGA